AAACAATGCTCTGTCACAAATGTGTCAGTTAGCAATGTAGACATTATTGAAGATTTTGCAGGGGAGAGAGAGAAAGGGGTTCAAATTGCACATGTCATAGCATGAACCTAAAGATTATCATTAGCTATTTCCAATGTCCCTGGAATTCTCTTATCAGTTATTCTCTGCCTCCTCTCTGCTTCAGCCTCTCCTAACACCATCTCTTTCCCCATCTTCCTCATTCCTTCTCAAGAGCAGTCAAATAATTCTTCTCTTGGTCTCATGTGAAAACCATCACCTTCTTCTCTGAATACTGAATACCAACCAAATCAAACTCAGGAGGCTTATTTTCTACCTGAGAATAGGCTGGCAATGCATCTTCTTTGCAAAATTGTGTCTCTCTGTATATGGATTTCTCATTCCAGCTGCTAAGTAATATTCTCCATGCCATTACAGAAAGGCGTTAGGCAGAGGACAGACATGGTCAGATTTATGTCCTAGATAGATCACTACAGAAGGGGTGGAGGATGGATTTGTGAGAGCAAGGTTGGACACAGGTGGATTAGTTGGTAGGCTGTTGCAGTAGTCTAGGTGAGTGATTGTGAGACCTTGAACTAGAGATAAAAACAAAGGGAGTAGAAGAAAAAGACTCAGGAAATATTTAGATGTTAAACTAGCAGAATTTGGTGATTAAAATAGGGAATATGGTTGATTCAGTGACTTGCTTTTAATGAATAGAATATGGCAAAGGTGATGGGCTATCATGCCCACAATTAAGTTATAAATAACTCTGACTTCTGTCTTGCTACTTTCTTTCCCCGGCTCATCTTACAAGCTTAATTTGACAGAGAGGGCGACCTGTCAAGGAACTGAGGGTATAACTGCTGGACCAGTCTTATCTGGCCATACTCTGTTTATAATGGAATGTCCAGTTATTTTGCAGGCACAGAGCTAAGACAGTGCAAGCTACACAGCCAGAGCATGCACAGAAAAAACCTTTCAACCTCAAATAACACCAGGGACTAAAGTCTCACCCTCCCATCCCCACGGAACTAAAAGATTGGGACATAACTAGAACCCAAACACTAGAACACTTGCGTGTTTTTGTGCGTGGTTTTTTTTTTTTTTTTAACTTCCCAAACACACGTCTGAACGGAAGACTTTGAAAAGTGATGTGTCCATTGTCTATGAATGTCCGGTGATAAGACCCCTTCTTATGCCTTGCCATAAATAGTCTTGTTTAAAGTCCTTCCAATCAAAACTTGCCCTGCCAGAACTTCCACATACAAACCTATCCTCCCTCACCCATAAAACTTGCCCCAAACACTATATCGAGGAGACAGATTGAGCTGGACAGCTGTCTCCTTGCTGGTCGACTGGCTATAAAGCTTTTTATTTTCTCAAAACCTGGTGCCATAGTATTGGCGTCTTTGTGCATCAGGTAGTGAGACCATTGCTTGGTAACAAGGGCAGCCTCTGGCCAACAGCCAACAAGGATATGAGTCCCTCAATCCAACAACCCTATCACCAAGCATTATGCGAGCTTGGAAGCAGATCCTGCCCCAGTTGACCCTGAGATTATCATGGCCCTGGCGAACGCCTTGACTGCAACCTTATGAAAGCCCTGAAGCAGAAGACCCAGCTAAGCAATGCCCAGATTCCTGACCCACTGAAGCTATGAGATAGGAAATGTGTTTTTTTTTTCTTTTTTCCTTTTTGTGACTTACTTCCTTCAAGGGAAATGTATATTGTTTTAAGCCACTAAATTTTGGGGTAATTTGTTGCTCAGCAATAGATAACTAAGACAGTAGGTATATAATGTTGTTTAGTAGATGAAAAAGTCATCTATTATCCAGCTAGAATGTCAATTTAGAACAGATTATTTCAAACTGTAGGTTGCAATCTGTTAGTGGGTCATGAAATCAATTTAAAGGCTTGTAATCTACATTTAAGAAACATTGAAACAGGCCGGGTGCGGTGGCTCACGCCTGTAATCCTAGCACTCTGGGAGGCCAAGGCGGGCGGATTGTTTGAGCTCAGGAGTTCGAAACCAGCCTGAGCAAGAGCGAGACCCCGTCTCTACTAAAAATAGAAAGAAATTAATCGGACAACTAAAAATATATAGAAAAAATTAGCCGGCCATGCCTGTAGTCCCAGCTACTCGGGAGGCTGAGGCAGAAGGATTGCTTGAGCCCAGGAGTGTGAGGTTGCTGTGAGCTAGGCTGACACCATGGCACTCACTCTAGACTGGGCAAAAGAGTGAGACTCTGTCTCAAAAAAAAAAAAACAAAAAACATTGAAATAGAATAGAATAAAATAGAAGACATCATAGAACATCACATTTAGTAAGGGTAAGTACTGTTCTACTAAGTTTTTTTTTCTTTTGAGACAGAGTCTCGCTCTGTTGCCTGAGCTAGAGTGCCTGTGGTATCAGCCTAGCTCACAGCAACCTCAAACTCCTGGGCTCAAGCAATCCTCCTGCCTCAGCCTCCCAAGTAGTTGGGACTACAGGCACGTGCCATCACACCCAGCTAATTTTTTCTATTTTTAGTTGCCCAGTTAATTTTTTTCTATTTTTTAGTAGAGATGGAGTCTCACTCTTGCTCAGGCTGGTCTCGAACTCCTGACCTTAAGCGATCCTTCTGCCTCGGCCTCCCAGAGTGCTAGGATTACAGGCATAAGCCACCTCGCCCGGCCTCCACTAAACTTTTGTTTCATGATCTGTTGTTTCCTTAATACTCCCTTTCTTTTCTGGACCTAGTTTTTCTGAGAATGTGGTTAGGGAGGAAGTTGTAGGGGCAAAGAGCAAACGTTTCTTTACGTTATTGGCTCCAGCTGCAGTCTTCTGTTGGTTGCTATTTCTCTGTTGAAACGGACAGGCCATGGGTGTTCTCTGCAGGCCAGGCATCCCAAAGCTGGTCTCCCATGGGACTTATGTGGAGTTTTTCAGAGGCTGGCTCAATTTCTTCCTCTAGTCCCAAGCCCAGCTCTTCCTACTTCCTCTTGCTGCTGGGGTCTCCTCCTCAGAAGACAACCTTCAAGACAATCTTCGTGGCGCTCAAGCTCTGGTACTTTTCAAAGGATCCACTTGGACTATAAATTTCACCCTGCTGAACAGCTGGCACACAGGCTGCTCCACTCTGGTGCCCTCTCTCTGAGCTGCCATTCAATCATTTCTCTCTATTCCCAAGAACAGAAGCAGATCAGCCCACTTCTCCCAGTCACTCCCAACCAGAAAGCCAGTTTCCTCTTCTTGCAGCTCTTAGTCTGTGGGTCACTCTTAGAGCCTCCTTTGACTTAGGAGGGACACCTCTTACTTCCCATCTCTACTCTCCACCCCATAAGGCCTGAGATCTCTTGACTCTTTCCCTTAGCATCACCAAGGTCCTTTTATGAAAACTTTAAAAAGAGGATTGAAGTTGAAATGGAATTAGCTTTGGTCTGCTATAAATCCTAGGGAAAATGGGGTGGCAATGACTGGCATTCACTTTACAATGTGAGGAACTTAAGTAACTCCTCTTTAACTTTGGACTCAAGACACCAATTTTGGAACAAGGGAAAATGTCCCATTCCAATGCCGTGAGGCATTTGCTGACCTCCTCTCTGCAATCGTGCAGACTTTATTTTTTTATTTTTTGAAACAGGGTCTTGCTCTGTCACCCAGACTGGAGTGCAGTGGCCCAATCATAGCTCACTGTAGCCTCAAACTCCTGGGTTCAAGTGATCCTTGGCCTTGGCCTCCCAAAGTGTTGGGATTACAGACATGAAGCACTGTGCCCAGACTGTGTGGCTTCTTGAGAACTTCTGCTAAACCTTCCGTGTATTCTCTAATCTAAATTGTTACATACTGTTATTTATTGAGGCTTTGTCAGCAGGCTAGTCTTACATATCAATTCATAGTCGGGACATGCAACATGGTTTCTTGGGGAGAGTCTTATTTTTTTTAAAGAGTTCTAACAATGCAACATAATAAATTCACATCTCTGAATTTTTAAAATTCAAAATAATTCAGTTAACTATGGAACTTTTTTTCCAACTTCACTCCTAAGTTTCATGAGAGAAGGAAGCCTTTTTGAAGATGCTTAGATTGTGCTACTAAAACCAGGAGGTTCTAAGGCATTTAAAACTAAGTTGGAAACGTTAAACATAGAATTACCATATGACTTGGCAATTCCACGCTTAGTTCTATACCTAAAAGAACTGAAAACAGATATTCAAATACTTGTACATGAATGTTCATAGCAGCATTATTCGTATCAGCCAAAAAGAGGAAACAATCCAGGTGTCATCAACTGATGAATGGATAAACAAAATGTGGTATATCCGTACAGGGGAGTATTATTCAGGCATAAAAAGGAATAAAAAGTGCTTATAGATGCTACAAGAGTTAATCTTGAAAATACTGTTAAGGAAAAGAAGCCAGACACAAAAGGTTATATACTGTGTGATTCCATTAATAGGAAATGCCCAGAATAGGTAAATCCATAGAATCAGAAAGTAGATTAGGGGTTGGCAGGGGCTGAAAGAAAAGGGGAACCTGCTTACTGGTTCCAGGGATTTTTTTTGGGTGGGGGGGCTGATGAAAATGTTCTAGAACCAGACACACACTCAGGTGACGGTTGCACATTTGGTGATGTATTACACCCACTGAATTGTGAAATTTAAAATGGCTCATTTTATGTTATACAGATTTTACCTCAATAAAAGTAAAGTGAATTGGTAGCTAAGATACTGAAACGCAGTGTAGAATCGTTCTCACATTCATTACGAGCCTGTGGAAAGCTGTGTGCGCCCAGCCCTCCCTGACCGGTCCCATCGCGTCGGTGGGATACAACAGGTACCGCTAGGTAAGCTCGGAGACCGGCCAGGGGCCGACTTCGCGACGGCCTGGGCTCGGGGGCGGGGCCTGGCGCAGGGGCGGGGCCGGGGCGGACGGAGTACGTCGGACTACGGCCTTCGCCGGTTGCCGGGAGAACCGGCAACAACAAAAGGCGCGGGTGGCGGCGGCGGCGTGGCAGAGCGAAGCCGAGGAGTCTTGCGCTCGCCGCCAGAGACCGGGGCTTTCCCGAGCCGGTCAGTGCGTCGCGGGCTGGGCCGGGCGGTGTGGGGAAGTGGGGCGCCCTCCGGCCCGCGGCGCCCGTGCTCCGGGCCCGCCGTAGGGAGGAGGCGGCGTCGGCCAGGGGTCAGGGTTGCCGCGGGGTGGGTTAGCGGGGCGGTTGGGGCGTCGGCGAGGCCGAGGGGGGCGCCCAAGGGGGCCCAGGGTCGGCGCTGGGATCCGGGCGAGCGGCCGGAGACAGAGCGCCCCTTCCTGAGGTAGAGGGGCCCGAGGAACTGGGACGCGACGCAACGCGGGACCGAGCCCCTCCGAGTGGATCCCTTGTACGTCTCGTGTTTATACTTCCCAGCGCGGATGTGAAGAGGCGCGGTGGAGGCCCACCGTCTCTGAGGGGTTCGTCTTGTCTCAGGCCTCCTTTTCCCATCGTAGAGGTTGAAACTTTGGTGCTTTCAGGCGCTGTGCAAGTCCGAAAGTGCCCTCCCTCATAGGCGGGCGATAATGGAGAAAGAGAAAGGGCGCCCAAAATATTTTTTGAAACACCTTTTAAGTAACACCACCGCCTCCAAGTTTTAAAATCTTTGTTGTTTCCCCCTCTTTACTCCCTTATCTTTTACACATTTGGGGCCTTTTCTGAAATCCTTGTGCGATTCACTATCCGTCTTCTGGGAAGTTTTTTATGTAAATATTATTAACAAACCACAAGTTTAAGGCAACCACTGCTTTCTGAGAAACCAAGGGTACAGGATGACAACGGTATTTGGGGACACCTATTCTTGATCAATGACATGGCGTCAGGGATTAAATAATACCTCGCCTTTGCTCAGATTTCAGAAACCCATTAAGTATGCCTAAATATTACCAGCCAATCAGATTTCACCGTTTTTTGCATTTGGTGACATGCATGTTTCTGACGACTACAGTTGATCAGAATCTGAAGGGACTATAATTGATTAGAATCTGAAGAAGTATAAGTGCTATCGATTTTTTAAAAAAAAACTTCTTGTATATTGATTGTTTTACAAGCCACATGTTTATGGACCATTATTATTTCTTTAAAATTTTTTTTCTTTTATTGACCCCGACATATTATTATTTTTTAATGGTTAAAATAGATGACTTTCAATTACCTTTATATCCAAATTGTTTATAGATATTACCATTATAAAAACCAAAAAAGTAAAAATATCCCAATTACATTTGACATTTTTTATTAGCACATTCATTGGAAGCAATTAGTTTGGCTTAACATAGCCCATGACTTTTGCTTTAATGTGATGGAATAAAAAATAAGTTAATATATATAGTAACTTCAAATGTAGGTGTTCAGAGACATTTGGAAGAATCAAGTTAGCATCCCTACAGTTTGGAAAAGTTTCTGGTACCAAATGATTGTAGAGTCCTTTAGGATCCAAGAAAGGATTTTACTGTACACATGAGCATGTGTTTTTTTTCAATGCAGAATTTCATTAGAATGATTACATCTGCCAAGGTTTGGTGTATCTCTTTGTTTTGGCCATGAATGGTAGTTTGTTGACTCTGGTTTGGGATTTTTACAGCCCAAGAGACCTGGTATTTTTTTATTCTCAGTGGGCTTTTAGTAGAGTAAATGTTTTTTGTTGTGATCCTCTTTGGACTATCCAGTCACAGAATTATAAATGCAAAGTTCTGCTGCAGGGTTTTTAAAAGCTAGTGAATATTAAATATTAATATGTCAACATTTCCATAGCAAGTAGTGCTTAAAATGTTATTTCTGCTATGAAATAACGGTAGTCTGCTGTTACTTACTGATAGTATTCAGGACTCAGCATCTCTAAAGAGCCTAGCGTCAACCTCAAACTGATTACTTTTCGTCATACGCACTTAAGCATCATCATAGATTACTCATTTGTTACCTTTTTTAGCTTTTGTGTAGTGTAAGCTTTATCCTACCAAGACTGTGAACATTTGTGTACACATTTTTATGCAAACACGTGTTTTCATTTCTCCTGGAAGTGGAATTGCAGGGTCAAATGATAACTCTGTGTTTAACTTGTTGAGGAACTGCCAGTCTGTTTTTCAAAGTGGCTGTACCATTTTACATTGCCACCAGGAGTGTATGAGAGTTCTGATTTCTCTACACTCTTGCCAAAACTTATTATGATCTGTCTTTTCTTTTTTTAGAGACAAGGTCTCACTGCGTCGCTCAGGCTGGAGGGAAGTGGCAACGATCATGGTTCACTGAAACCTTGAACTGCTGGGCTCAAGTGATCCTCCCACCTCAGCCTCCTGAGTAGCTAGGACTACAGGCACATACCATCATGCCTGGCTAATTTTTAAAAACATTTTTTGTGGAGACAGGGTCTTGCTAGGTTACCCAGACTGTTCTTGATCAAGTGATCCTCCTGCCTTGGCCTCCCAAAATGCTAGGATTATAGGCATGAGCCACTGTGCCTGGCTTATTGTTTGCTTTTAACATGCGTATAATTCCTCAATTATTTCTTTGCCTTAATTTTCTAACTCCCTAATTATTCAATGTTTAGATTAATGAACTAGAAAACATTACCACTGTAGAAATAAAGGCACAATGGAATCCCATATATTTATCACTTAGCTTCATCATTTACCAACTCATGGCTTCCACTCCCTAGATTATTTTGAAGCAAGCCCAAGACATCATATCATTTCATCTATAAATTAATGATGTACTTTATGAGACAGATTTACTCTTTGTAACTATTTTATATTGGAACAAAACCTGCTCTAATTGACTTTGCTTCAGAGATGGTTAGTTTATTGGATAAGAGGAGTCAATAATTAAAATTTATTTTTTATTTCGTTACACAGAAGTCCAGATCTTATGTAAAATGGATATTTCTCACACTAAATACTGAACATTAAGTAGAAAATCTATTTAGTAAAATCCAAGCTGCCATGGAAGAAATACCAATAAAAGTTGCCGTAAGAATTAGACCTCTGCTCTGCAAAGAAGTTCTTCATAATCATCAAGTTTGTGTGAGAGTTATTCCAAACACCCAGCAAATTATCATTGGGAGAGATAGAGTCTTTACTTTTGATTTTGTTTTTGGCAAAAATTCAACTCAAGATGAAGTTTATAATACGTGTATAAAGCCCCTAGTGTTGTCACTCATTGAGGGCTATAATGCAACTGTTTTTGCCTATGGACAGACTGGATCTGGGAAGACGTACACCATTGGAGGAGGCCATGTTGGTAAGATTACTCTCTGACTTTTTGTCAAACACTAGAAAGAAGCTAAAATAGGATAATACCTGACACACAGGTGCTTAGGATATTGGTTCAATAATAAAAGAGTGAATAGTATAATCAAATATCATAAGATCATCTTCGAAAGATTTGTTCTTAAATATTGACGTTTCATTAAGAAATCTAATTTATGATTACATACTGTTTGCATGAGGAAAGAAGTTTAATTCAGTGTGTTCAACCCTTGTTATTTTTAACATAATTGTAATAGAGATAAATGAGTTAACATTAGATTTTGCATCCTTTAACAAGTCAGTTGTAAATATTAAGAGTCCTGCAACCAGGACTTAGGGGTAGTAAGAGAAATTAATTATGTGGTTAAAACGTCTTTTATTTTTTTTTCACTTTCTAGCCAGATAACTGAATATATTAGGATGTAATTTCTGCTGCTGGTAATTCCATCTTGGAAAAGATGGAAACAATCCCAACCAACCCACCCTTGAAGGCAATCACAGTTCTGATTTTTTTTCCACCATAGATTATTTTTGCCTATTCAAGAACTTCATATTAATGGAATCATAGAGTAAGCAGCCTTGGAAAAGATGGAATCATAGGCTTTCCTGTAGAACTGGAGAGAACCTTCGAAATCATTTCTCTTCATTGATAAGTGAGGGGCCTAGCCCTGGAGAGATGAAGAGATTGTTCAGTTAGGTAGCTAGTGGTGAAGTGGGGGATTGAAAGCCAAGTCCTCTGTTGAGACTGGTGACTGTATTGGTATTTTTCTACTAAAAGCAAACTTTTGAATATTGCACATAGACATCATTGTCTAAATTTTAGTTAGTATTCTTTATATGTGTAGTGGCTTTCAGTATTTTTTCATTTTCCTACTTCTCAAATGTAAAATATGTGACTTTCAGAAACTTCTCACATTACTTACGTGGATGTGGGGGAGCCTCAGAGGGTGACTGTAGTTTGAGGAAGTCCTTATTGCAAACATTAAATGGAGAGGCCTTAAGAGCCCACTACCCCCAATTTTTACAAATCTCTGTTCTACAGGATTTGGAGATTACAGATACTAGATTATTTTAGGATCTCACAAAAAAAAGAATTCAGTTTTTCTAAGTTGTGGTTTTTGGTGTAGCCTTTTTTTCGATTGGTAAATGTCTTATAATCTCAGTGACCCAGTGTGTGCTTGATGCCAATAGGAGTTATAAAATGTTCAGAGGTTGGTGTAATTATAGTGCTACTGTTTTTTTAATTAAGAGGCCATGAATACTATTTTAATTCTGTAAGGGAAAAAGTTATTAAAGTTATCTGTTGTTCTAAAAATTTTTTTTTTTTTTTTGAGAGAGAGTCTCACTCTGTTGCCCTAGGGTAGGGTGCCATGGCGTCAGCCTAGCTCACAGCAACCTCAAACTCCTCCTGGGCTCAAGCGAGCCTCCTGCCTCAGCCTCCCGAGTAGCTAGGAATACAGGCATGTGCCACCATGCGCGGCTAATTTTTTTTATATATTTTTAGTTGTCCAGCTAATTTCCTTCTATTTTAGTAGAGGTGGGGATCTCACTCCTGCTCAGGCTGGTCTTGAACTCCTGAGCTCAAACGATCCACCCGCCTCAGCCCCCCAGAATGCTAGGATTACAGGCGTGAGCCACTGCACCCGGCCTGTTCTAAAATATTTTAACTGCTCTTAAAATCTCTATACCAGAAGAAATAGACCACCATTAAGAACAGTTTTGGTGTTTTCTTTCTACTTTTTTTTTTAAATTAAAGAAACGTATATTGTAAAAAGGGTTGCAAATGGTTCGTAAGAAATTAAACAAGTGAAAAGCTCCTGTGGCCCCAAGAAATATCGGTATAATGTACAGTAGCCATATTACTCACACATGTAATTTTTTGGTTTTTTTATTTGTTTTGTTTGTTTAATGAGATGCTATACCTGTGGTTCTGTAACTTTTTTTTTTTACATTTAATAGTATAAAATATCATTTCACTTCTTCCCATTTGGGTCATGGAAATTCATCTCATTTTTGACTGTATAATTTACACAGTGTGAATGAATTGTAGTTCATCCATTCCAGTATTAATGTTTAGGTTGTTTCTGATTTTTTTTTTTTTTGAGACAGAGTCTTCCTCTGTTGCCCTGGGTAGAGTGCAGTGGCGTCATCATAGCTCACTGCAACTTCAAACTCCTGGGCTCAAGTGATCCTCTTGCCTCAGCCTCCCAAGTAGCTGGGACTACAGGTGCGCACCATGATGCCTGGCTAATTTTTCTATTTTTAGTAGAGACAGGGTCTCATTCTTGCTCAGGCTGGTCTCCAACTCATGAGCTCAAGCAATCCTCCCGCCTCAGCCTCCCAGAGTGCTAGGATTACAGGTGTGAGCTACTGGGCCTGGCCTTGTTTCTGATTATTAGTGTTATAAAAAAGTTGCAGTGTATATCTTTGTACATTTAAGTTTACATACGTGTGTTAGTATTTCTAAAGAATGGATTCCTAGAGACGGATTTGTTGAGTCAAAGAGTAGGCACATTTAAAATGTAGATTAGATCAGTCTGACAAATTACCCTGCAAAAAAGCTGTATTAGTTTAAATTCCCACCACCAACATGTGAAAGCCGTTTGCTGATAGCCTTGTCACTTAGTAATATTATAAATTCAATTTTTTTCCATCTGATAGGTGAAAAATTATACTTTCTTGTTTAAAGTTACATTTATTTCTGGTATATTAGTGAAATTAGCAAGCATTTTCTATTGCTCAGATTGTCTATGTAGGACACCAGTTCTGGGTCAGTTGTCTGCTGTTTCATTATTTAAAAAAAGGCTTTTTTTTGACACAAATCTTTCTCCATTGCCTGAGCTAGAGTGCAGTGGTGTCATCATAGCTCAATGCAGCCTCCAATTCCTGGGCTCCAGTGATCCTCTTGTCTCAGCTTCCAGAGTAGCTGGGACTACAGGCACGCACCACCATGCCTTGCTAATTTTTCTATATTTTTGTAGAGATGGGATCTGGCTATTGCCCAGGCTGGTCTCGAACTCCTGAGCTCAAGCCATCTTCCTGCCTCAGTCTCCCAAAATGCTAGGATTACAGGTATGAACTACCGCACTTGGCCTGGTGTTTGATTATTGACCATGCAAATTATTTTTTGTTTTTTTCCCAATAAATATTTACAAATTTAATATTTATTATATAAATATAAATATTTATATCATGCCAGGCACTATGGCAGAAGGAAAATCTCTTATTTTTTAATAGGATGGTTATTTAAGCTAATACTCATTTTCCTGCTTTTCAGAACCTGGGATTTACTGACCTTTACAAGGCATAACCTTTTCCAAAACCTTTTGTGTACCCTTTAAATACCATATGACAGCTAAATGATGGCTGTTGAGGTTTTACAAATTTTCTCTCTGAAATAGTATATTTTAGGAATATAAGACTAATATTGCAAATGTGATATTTAGATTAGCAAAATACATATTGAAGCTTTATTATAAATATTTGGAATTCAGCTTTTTGGTAAGTCTTTTGATTTATTGTGCTTTGTTATCCAGTGAAGTGAGGAATAAATGAGCTATTTCTGGTCAATTGTATATTCTGGCTAATTTGGATTGCTTCTCCATACTATAGTTTGAAAGGGTTTAGACATTTCCTATTGGCTAGTTCCTAGAAGCTCTTAAAAAGGAATCTTCACTTTTTCCCTGTATGGTATTGGAAAAAACCTACAGTTTCCTTTACTTGCCACATGATGGTAGTCTTGCATCTTAAATTCGGTGAAAAGCAGTCATCCAAGTTAATAGAGATTCAGATTTTCAGGATGTTTCTTGCCCAAAATCTAAACTTTGGTTATCTTCAACTAGAAGATGGGACATAAGTTGTTTTTAAGGTTCATTTGTAAGCCAACTTTTTGTTGCTTCGAATATATTTTCCATGGAACCATGCTAAAAATGATGGGCAGATTTCTAAACTGGCCTACAGAAACTTTAAGTCTCAATTTTTTCCTTCCACTTATTTTAAGTTGTATCTTACACACTTTTTTTTTTTTTTACTGTTTTTAATTTAATTTCATTTTTTATTTTCTTTTTTTGAGACAAGGTCTTACTCTGTCAACTCCAGGTAGAGTGCAGTGGTGTGATCATAGCTCACTGCAGTCTTGAACTCCTGGGCTCAAGTGATCCTCCTACCTCAGCCTCCTGAGCAGCAGGGGCTATAGGTGTGGGTCACCACACCCAGCCTTTAGTAATTTCTAAACTGTGATAAAAATATATATAAATATACATAACATAAAATTTATCATTTTAACTACTTTTAAGTGTACAGTTCTGTGGCATCAAATACATTCAGTGTTAATGTAGTCATCACCACTATTTCCAAAATTTTTCATCACCCCAAACAGAAGATCTGTACCTGTTTAGCAATAACTTCCCCCACTCCACATCCCTTGGTAACCCTTAATTTACTTTCTGTCACTTCAAATTTGCCTATTCTAGATATTTCATAAAAGTAGAAGCATACAATATTTATCTTTCTGTATCTGGCTTCTGTCACTTAGCATCTTGTAGCATCTATCAGAACTTCATTGCTTTTTATGACTGAATAATATTCCATTGTATGTATATACCACATTTATTCATCCATTCTTCCATTGTTGGACATTTGGTTTGTTTCTCCCTTTTGGCTCTTGTAAATAGTGGTGCTGTGAACATGGATGTAAAAGCATCTGTGTGAGTCCCTCGTACACATTTTTGTAAAGCTGCTTTAAAGTCCTTTTTGAAACAAAGTGGGGCATAAATAAATGTTCACTCATGACTTTATTGTACTGGTCTGTGTTCCGGTTGTGGAAGCTGGCTTAGATAGTGTTGGAGAAGAGGTGTGGAGGTGTCCCCTTTCTCATTCCTGGCCTTTCTGCATCTCTTCTACACACATCCTCTGTTGCCTCCAGACTCTGGCTTGCTTCCTTGCCCTTTCTTATCCCTTTCTACTCTCAAACTCCCGGCACCTTTCCCACTCGACCCAGGAATCTCAGAACAGATGCTCTTCGCTTAATGTGAAGAAATATGATACAAGGATTTTTTAGAAAAAGGATCTTTCCAACATAAATGAATTTGCACTGTAGTGATTAGGATTCCATGCAGACCATAATAAATGAAGTAAAGAGAAAAATATTTTAGTACAAAGGACTGTGAAATAGGTTGGTCTTAGCTGGGGTGAGTTTCCTCTTTTTTTATGGCTTTTTCTGTTTCAGAAATTACATGTTGTCTAAAAGCACCAACATTTTTATTATAGTGGCTCCCACTAATAGTGGGGACACTAGTGAATATCCCAGGGATGGGATGTCTTTGGACAGGGACAGGCACCCCTTTGTGTTGAAAGATTTTTTTATGAGCTAAGGGCCACCTTCCTGGATCTAGTATTTAACGAACAGTGAATTAGTAAGTTGGGAAAGGTAAAATATTTTTTATAAAATAGCATGGCCTATTTATGGAATAAAATGACACCCCATAGAGTTTTATCTTTTTATATTAAAGTGGACATTTCTACTACACCTACCTGCTTTGGACTTCACTGGTATGTACCACTTATGCCTATCTCATTCATGGAACTTTTCAAACATGTTTTCTTATAAAATCTTTTATTTTTGCCTTAAACTTATATAAACATCATTTAGTTTATTGGGTTGTCTTGTCATTTGATTATAAGCTTCTTTGTTTTCTGCCTCTTCCAGTTTTCTACAATGTATTTATTAGTTTATTTTTAAACTATATTTGAAACTTTTAATTTATTTTTAAAAATGATTTCTAATGGTAAAAATTCAAATATTACAATTAAGATAAAAAGTAAGTTTTTCTTTTTTTTCTTTCCCTATTTTAAATCCCCAGAGGTAACCACCATTAAGTTTTTGGAATACTTTTTCAAAAATATTAATTGCATAGATATGTATTTTTTCTTTTACCCAGATGAGATTTGCTATGCAATTGCTTTTTTTTACTTCACAGATCTTAGATATCTGTGTAATGGTAGGTGCATGTTATGTCATTGTTAACTATCCATTCTCCTACTAATGGATTTATTAGGTTGTTTGGAATTTTTTCACTATTACAATCAATTGTTACTGATCCTTATATAACATCTTTGGGTATGTGCATATATGTATTCCTTTAGGACTATAACTGAGTTAAAGGCTGATTGTGTTTAAATTTTTGATACTGTTGATATTAATGATTCTCCAAAAAGGCTGTACCAGTTTACATTGTTATAGTATATTAGGGGACCCAGTTTGTTCACATCCTTGAGAAAACTAGGCATTATCAAATTTTAAACCTTTGCCCACATGGTATTTTAAACAGTGAATAATTATAGTGATTAGATTATTGCGAATATAATTTATCATCAATTACAATGATAATCTTAGTAATATTTTGGTGTTAGTAGTATTAAAAGTTGAGACAATGCTTGATATAGCTGCTTTTACTGTTCTTAAAACAATTAATAGGCCAGGCACAGTGACGCCTGTAATCCCAGCACTTTGGGAGGTCAAAGCGGGAGGATCACTTGAGGCCAGGAGTTTGAGAACTGCCTGGGCAATATAGCAAGACCCCATCTCTACAAAAAACGAAAAACAACATTTAATAACCCTTTCTTTACCCACTTTCCCAGCCATCTACCATCTCACTTCTCTGCTTTCCTTTGCAACGGAACCTTGAAGGTGTTATCTCTGATTTGTGTCCAGTTCTCCTCCTCCCATTCTTTCTTAAATCCACTCTATTTAGACTTTCACCTCCAACACCATTAAAACTGTACTTGTCTGCTGGGCCTGGTAGCTCACGCCTGTAATCCTAGCACTCTGGGAGGCCAAGGGGGGAGGATCGTTTGAGCTCAGGAGTTCAAGACCAGCTGTGAGCAAGAGTGAGACCCCGTCTCTACTAAAAATAGAAATTGGCTGGGCAACTAAAAATATATAGAAAAAATTATCCAGGCATGGTGGTGCATGCCTGTAGTCCCAGCTACTTGAGAGGCTGAGGCAGAAGGATCATGAGCCCAGGAGTTTGAGGTTGCTGTGAGCTAGGCTGATGCCACAGCACTCTAGCCCAGGCAAAAGGAGTGAGACTGTCTCAAAAAAAAAAAAAAACTGTACTTGCCAAGATAATCATAAATAACCTTCACTTTGCTAAATCCAATGATCAATTCTCATATCTCATCTTACTGGACCTATCAGCAGATTTGATATATATTCTGCACTTGGTTTCTAGACCACCACATTCTTGGTTTTCCTCCTACTTAACTGATTGCTCCTTATGATTTTTTGCTGGTTCTTTATAAAGGAACCAATAAATGAAGTAGGGCTCAGACTTTTGGTGCTCTTTTCTTCTGACTCTGTACTTTTCTTGGTGATCTCATCCACTCTCATGACATTAAATACTATGTATATGTAGCTGACTTCCAATTTTCAACTGCCTATTCAACATAAGGAATGCTTAATAGACATCTCAAGCTTAGCAGGTTAAAAACTGAACTTCTGACATTTTTCCCCTCAAGCCAGCTCAGTACCCATCTTTCCCCATATAAGTTGATGGCAATTCCAGTGGCTCAAGACAAAACCTTGGAGTCATCCTTGACTCAATCGCTTTGTCTCACATCCCATATCCAGCCTGTCAGGATATCTTAATAGCTCTCCCTTCAACATAAATCCAGAACCCGGCTACCATCTGGTGTGAGACACCATTATGTCTACCACTTGACTCCTTTGACTCCCACATTACTGCAGTAGCCTCCACAATGGTCTCCCTCCTTCTACACTTGTAAAATACAGCAGCCAGAGTGGACTTTTAAAAATCTCAAGCAATGGTAAGTTATTGCTCTATTCTAGTGGCTCTCATCTCATTCGGATTAAAACCCAAAGTGTACAGTGGTTTGTAAGGACCTCCATGAACTGGCTTCTGTCACCTCTCTGACCTCATCTCCTGTCACTCTCCCTTTGCTCCCTCTGCAACAGCCATGCTGGCCTTGTTTATGACTCACACGAATTTAGTGCCTACTTACATGGTGGCTGTTTCCTCTGTCTGGGACACTTTCCTCAGCTATCCATGGGGCCCCTCCACCATGTCTTTTAAGTCTTTGCTCAAATGTCAGCTTCTAAATGATGCCCACCATGACCTGCCTATTTAAAATTGTGAGTACTTCCCACCCCATCATGCACGGTCATACTTCCAGTCCCCCTACCCTGCCCTATTTTTTTCTCCAGGTACATTTAGCACCTATTAATATACCATGTAATTCATTTATCAGGTTTTTTTTGTTTTGGTATTGTCTGTCTTCTGTACCAGGGCAGAGATTTCTTCTCCCCCTGTTTTGTTCACTGATGGTCCCAGAATCCTAAAACAGTGCCTGGTATATAATAGGTACTAAATAAATATTTGTTGAATAAATGCATGAATGAATTCTAAGGGGATGCATGTGAAAACTTTTACCTATTAATTTTATAGTTGTGATTCAAAAATATTCTATAGAAATGTAAGAAAATAATGTATTAACCATAAATTTTGGGTCGTAGCTTTACTTATATTTTAAGTTGTAGATATGCTTTCTTTTTCTAAATTTTCAGCTTCAGTTGTGGAAGGTCAAAAGGGTATCATTCCTCGAGCTATCCAAGAAATATTTCAAAGCATCTCTGAACATCCTAGCATTGACTTTAATATAAAAGTATCTTATATAGAAGTATACAAGGAAGAACTAAGAGATCTTTTAGAATTGGAGACATCTATGAAGGATCTTCACATCCGAGAAGATGAAAAAGGAAACACAGGTAGCCCACTAAGTTGATTGCGTTCATTAGCAAACAGACATGCTTTAATTCAGTTTCTGGATATATTTTAGGAATCTTTAAAAATGGATATAGAAGCAAAATGAATTTAATTTTCTTTTAAATTGAGTGGCTTATTGATTATCAATCATATTTAAATAACCCAGATGAAAAAGTAATTCAGACTGATTGGTGAGATGAAGTTATTAATTTGTAATTCAAGATATTGATTTCCTATAAATTGTCCCTCTGTGGCCTGACCTCAAGTGAAAATGTGATACAGGCTAAATTTGTTTTTGTATCTTTTTTTCCTCCCAGATCTATCCCAAGATTCGGGATGGCTTTTCCTTTAGGAACTTTCTTCATCTTTGATTTTTGTCCCAGCACACCTTTTTTTTTTTTAAATTAGAGTTTATGTTTTTGCTTTTCCGTGTTGACATTTACATGTTCTTTGTGCTCCTAAAGTTCTGACTTTTTGTAATAGTAACTTGTTAATCTCATTAACTAATATGCATTTGTTTGAAAATGGGAAGTTCAAAATGCAAGCATTTTAAGGAATAATTTCTGCTTTTCTGATTTTAAAGCTAATATGTTCATCATAGAATATTTTGAAAACAGGAACATATAAGGAAGAAAGTTAAAGATTATCTCAGAACCTAGAAATAGCGTCTTCTCTTTTCCATGTGTTTTCTTCCAGATTTCTTTTTCTGTTTACATATAATTTCTTTTCTTTTTTTTAGAAGAAGGATCTCGCTCTGTCACGGGCTGGTATGCAGTGTCGTGATCATAGCTCACTGCAACCTCAAACTCCTGGTTCGGGCGATCCTCTTGCCTCAGCCTCCCGAGTAGCTGACATTATTTCCATCAGGCACATGCCTCCATGCCCATCTAATTTAAAAAAATTTTTTATAGAGACAGAGTCTCGCTATATTGACCAGGCTGGTCTTGAACTCCTGGCCTCAAGTGATCTTCCCGCTCCAGTCTCCTGAAGTGCTGGGATTACAGGCATCTGGCCCCGTGTCACTATTTTTTTATAAAGCTACCAGGTGATTTGGGTTTGAGAAGCATAGTGCTCACTTACAGCCTAACATTAGAAAAATTTTATTAAAGTTTTAATATGATGTATAGTTACATCGCCATATTCTATAAACTCTGATATTATATACCTTCTGTTTGTGGGAGGGTACTTTCAATGAGCTATGTTGTTAAAAAAGTGTCATGATAGAAATAATGTCAATGAAATGATTATTTTTTCAATAAATAGTGACGTGACGGGATCTGAGTGAAGAAGCATTATGGCACTAATTCGAGATCAGGAGCTTTACTGCTCTGATTCAAAGCCCAAATCCACCTACTCCTCTTTGAAATATTTTTCATATAAACAGATAATGCAGTTGTAAGCTTATTAGGTTATTTTTTGTTCTTATTCTGTTGTTGAAATAGAAACTTTCCTTTTTTGAATTGTCATCTCATCTGTTACCTTGCACTCTGATGTTACATAGGCCATATCTGTTTTTGAGCAGATTTATTTGTATTGAATTTTTGACTCATCATTGATTATGACTCCACATATCAAAAAACCTAAAAGCTAAGGATGGCTTGACTATTAACTGAAAAAAAAACTAATTTTTAAAATTATTTCTAATTAATTCTTTTAATCTACTAGTGATTAACTCTTTTGAATTATGTTGTTTTTTTTTTTTTTTGAGACAGAGTCTCACTCTTTTGCCTGGGCTAGAGTGCCGTGGCGTCAGCCTGGCTCACAGCAACCTCAAACTCCTGGGCTCAAGCGATCCTCCTGCCTCAGCCTCCCGAGTAGCTGGGACTACAGGCATGTGCCACCATGCCCAGCTAATTTTTTCTATGTATTTTTAGTTGTCCGATTAATTTCTTTCTATTTTTTTAGTAGAGATGGGGTCTCGCTCTTGCTCAGGCTGGTCTCAAACTCCTGAGCTCAAACACTGTGCCCGCCTCGGCCTCCCAGAGCGCTAGGATTACAGACGTGAGCCACCGCGCCTGGCCTTGAATTATGTTTAATCTATTATCTTTTAATTAATCTATTAGACTTTACAAATCAAAATACTGGAATAAAGAGTTTTTCTTTTGTTAATAATTTTATTTATTTATTTATTCATTCATTCATTTTTTGAGACAGGGTCTTACTCTGTTTCCTGGGCTTGAGTGCAGTGGCATCATCATAGCTCACTGCAACCTCAAACTCCTGGGCTCAAGTGGTCCTCCTGCCTCAGCTTCCCAAGTAGCTGAGACTACAGGTGTGCCACGACACCCAGCTATTTTTTTTTTATTTTTATTTTTTTAAATTTTTGTAGAGACAAGAGTTTTGCTATGTTGCTAAGGCTGATCTCAAAGTCCTGGGCTCAAGCTGTCCTCCCACATCAGCCTCCCAAAGTGCTAGGATTACAGGCAGGAGTCACTGTGCCTGGCCTTGTCAGTCATTTCAAAGAATTGAGTGTGATATTTGACTCCAAAGAAGCTAGATTGTTTTTTCAAAAAATTATATGTTTTAGAGTTTTAAGATCACAATGAATGCTGTCAAAATAGTTCCTTTGGGAGATTATCCAAAATTATTTAATGATGTTGCTGATGTTACTGTTTTTGTTTGAAGTGCTATTGATTTTTTTAAAAGGGACTATCTTGGCCAGGCTTTTTAGCAAATGATAACTGTTGTGTGATTAATTTAACTGTACTGAATTTTGATGAAAGCCTTGTTTAAAAACTTGTTATTGCATTTTAAGTGATTGTTGGGGCCAAGGAATGTCATGTAGAGGGTGCAGATGAAGTGATGAGTCTTCTGGAGATGGGGAATGCAGCCAGACATACAGGTACCACCCAAATGAATGAGCACTCCAGCAGATCACATGCAATTTTTACAATCAGCATTTGTCAAGTTGAGAAAAATACAAAGGCACCTGAAGATGGATCTTGGTATTCCCATCGGCATATTGTCTCAAAGTTCCACTTTGTGGATTTGGCTGGATCAGAAAGAGTAACCAAAACAGGGAATACTGGTGAACGGTTCAAGGAATCCATTCAAATCAACAGTGGGTTGCTGGCTTTAGGCAACGTAATTAGTGCTCTTGGAGACCCACGCAGGAAGAGTTCACATATTCCATACAGGGATGCTAAAATTACCCGGCTTCTGAAAGATTCCCTGGGAGGCAGTGCTAAGACTGTCATGATCACATGTGTCAGCCCATCCTCCTCAGATTTTGATGAGTCCTTAAATTCTCTCAAATATGCCAACAGAGCACGAAACATTAGAAACAAACCCACCGTAAACTTCAGCCCTGAGTCAGATCGTATGGATGAAATGGAATTTGAGATTAAGTTGCTTCGAGAAGCTTTGCAAAGCCAGCGGACTAGTGTCAGCCAAACTAGCCAGATCCATCGAGAGGGGACTCCTGATAAAAATAAAATCCATTCTCTTGAGGAACAAGTAGCTCAGCTACAGGGAGAATGTCTGGGTTACCAAAGTTGTATAGAAGAAGCCTTTACCTTCTTGGTGGACTTAAAAGATGCTGTCAGACTAAACCAAAAGCAGCAACACAAGCTGCAGGAGTGGTTTAACGTGACCCAGGAGGTCAGGAAGGATGTCTTCACCTCAGTTCGAGAAAACCGAGCCATTGGAAACCTGGAAGAAGGACCACAGCATATTACAGTCCTCCAACTGAAAAGAGAGCTTAAAAAATGCCAGGTACTTAGGTGTCACTTTTTTTGTTAATTTTTTTTTTGTTGAAACATTATATACATTTTTGGGGTACATGTGAGAATTTAATACATTTAGACATCACTTTTATGAGTATCTTGTTTAAGGACTAAATTTATTTGGGCAAGTAAATTCTAAGTCATTTTGGCATTTCAGGTTTTTTAAAAGAATTATATGTAGAATCTCATTTGCCTTTCCCTTACTCTGTTTCTTTCTACCCTTGCTATTCTTCCTCCTCACAGTTATACCTTTGTTTCTCCTTTGGTTAAAATGTATTTTAATTTATTTGTTATATTTATTAAATAGGACCTTGTGGAACTGGTTGTCAATTTAGAGGAGGAAAAGAAACACATTTTCAGAAACAAAATTAAGTTATACTTTCCTAAGTTTTTCTCCCTTTACTGGTCAGTGGTTCTTCCTGCCTCCACCCCACCCCTTGCCCGCCTGCCCACCCACCCTGGTCAGTGGTTCTTAAAAGAAAAAATTACTTCATTCTTTGAGAAACAAATATTTATGATATTTAATGAACGTAGGTATGTACATGTATGCATATTGTATATACATATATTGAGTTTAGAATTACATTTCCCCACTTTCCATTCAGAAAACATTTATTGCATGAAGATTGTGGAATAGTGGAGAACAGGACATGCTGTAGTTCTGCTTGCTGGGAGTTTGCAAGCTAGCGAGCAAATGGGTAGTCCTATTTATTTAAGGAATGTTATTCTTTAAGTAACACGGTTCTGAACTTCGTGAGTCTGTTTTTTAAAATAGGAAAACATGTAATTAAAAACATAGCTTTCTGTAAAACCTTTTTATATGAAGTATTATAAAGAAGCTATTTGTATTGTCCTCTATTACAACAGTTCTCAAACTTTTTGATCCCAGGTCTTATTTATTTATTTATTTTTTAAATTTTATTTTTTATTTAGAGACAGGATCTTGCTCTGTCACCCAGGCTGGTGTGCAGAGGCACCATCATAACTCACTTCAGCCTCAAACTTCTGAACTCAAGTGATCCTCCTGCCTCAGCCTCCCAAGTAGCTAGAACTACAGGTGTATACCACCACACCTGGCTAATTTTTTGATTTTTTGTATCTTGCTATGTTGCTCAGGCTGGTCTTGACTTCCTGGCCTCAAGTGGTCCTCCTGCTTTGGGCTCCCAAAGTGCTGGGATTACAGGCATGAGCCACCACACTTGGCCTTATTTTTTTAGTTTTTTTTTTTTTTAAAACGAAGGGAACAGGACTTCTTTATACTTTTAAAATCAGGGTTTCCCAAAAGAGCTTTTATTTATGTGGGTTATATTTATTGATATTTACTATATTAGAATTAAATTTGAAAAAAATTTAAACTATTTATTTATTAATTCATTAAAAACTAACAATTATAGCCTGATTACATGTTAATATAAAGAACTTTTTTTCCCATGAAAAATAACTATTTTCTAACACAAAACAAATTTTAAGAATAGAATTGTTTTACATTTTTGCAAACCTGTGTGATGTCTGCCTTAATAGAAGATAGTTGGATTTTCATATCTGCTTCATCATTCAATTTATAACAATATGTTGTTTTAGTTGAAGTTTGTGAGGAAAATTCAGCTTCATAGATTTGCAGTTGGAAGGGAGGCGTATTTTAATAACTTTGTCAGATAGTTGTAGATATTCTTCTTTGCTGCTACACCAAAACTCAACAAGTGGAAATTTCTTTCTTCCTTTCTTTCTTTTTTTCTTTTCTTTTTTTTTTTTTAAGAGATGAGGTCTCACTGTGTTGCCCAGGCTGGCCTGGAACTCCTGGCCTCTAGCAATCCTCCTACCTCAGCCTCTGGGATTTGAAACTATTTTGTTACATTAAGATCTGTATATTGAAATATACTAGTCTCTATCTTATACTTCTAATGGATATTTTATCCACATGTGATTTTGAATCATTATGCATTTGGTCATTTGGAAAATATTTGTGTACTAAGGATGCACATCTTTCAAATGGTGACACATTTCATTATACAATATCAAAAAATCACATTCATTAATATCACTAGTGATCTCACCAGCAACTTCTTTTAAGTATTGGAAGCTGTCAAGCTTACAGTGGTAGAAATGTTTCCAAAAAGTCTAATTTTGGTGTGAAACTCAAAGTTTTTCATTCACAACAAATAACTATTTTTTTGTTTTTGTTGAATTCATGGGTCCTCATTTTCAAAAAAATGTTTGCCACATATCCAAGTCTGAAAAACCATGGTCTCTGTTGTTCTTTAGAGTAAAAATAGTACCCCATGAAATAAGTAGCTAGTTGAGCTTGCAACTCAGTTGTACCAGTACTTTTTCCAACAGATAACTTTTACCTTTCATTATGCCACAGAAATACTTTATGAATACTTCCCATTTTGTCACACAGAAACACATATTCAGGGTTGAGAGTTAGTAATTTTTATTGCTTCACCAAGACTTTTTTTTTCTTTTGAAACAGAGTCTTGCTCTGTTACCTAGGCTAGAGTGTAGTAGTGTCATCATAGCTCACTACAACCTCAAATTCCTGGGCTCAAGTGATCCTCCTGCCTCAGCTGCCTGAGTAGCTGGGACCATAGGTGTGTACTACCACACCTGGATAATTTTAAAATTTTTTGTAGAGATGGGGTCTCATGTTATTGCTTAGGATGGTCTTGAACTCCTGGCCTCAAGTGATCCTCCCATCTCAGCCTCCCGAAGTGCTAGGAGTACAGGTGTGAGCCACCATGCCCGCTCTCACTGAGACATTCTTAAGTAAAACTGGCATTTGTTTATATTGTGAGTGTCTGACAGTGAATGACTACTAGCACAGTTTGGTGTCACTTCCTTTGTTTATGTTGAGGTGCCAGCAGTTTTACCCACCATTGCTTTTGCATCATCGGTGCAAATGTCAACATGGTAAAAAAGGCAAATATTGTTTTAGTAGTATTATGAAAATAGTTTTGACTTCATGGACACCCTGAAGGACTCTAAGCGACATGCCAAAAGGGTTTCTGTGGAACACTGTGAGAACTGCTGCTTTATTACAGTGGCTTTAATATTTAAATATAAGCCTTTAAGGTAACACCTTTTAAGTCTCTTTGGGGTTTTGGGTTTTTGGGGGAGGGGTTTTTTTGAAAGGTAGTAACTCTGCCTAGGTAAAGCAGGCCCTTCCTCATTGGTATAAGAAACAGGTGGAACAGGAAGTTCGGGTAATTGGAAGCTTGAATTGGAAGCATATAGGAGTTGGTAATAGGAAGCACTTTTCCTTCATGCTTCTAAGGTGACTGAAATTGGAATCCCGGAAAAACCCATTGCTTGGGGGCAGGGTGGGTAGTAACTTCCTCTCTCCATTTGTTGGAAACTAAATTTAAACTTGTTCGAGATCATATACTCTAGATTATGACTTCCCGGAGATATTAACTGTCTTGCCGAAAAAGGGTACCATGATCAGATTATTTTGGGGAATGATAGATTGCAAAAAGCATACAGGTTTTTTAATGGCAAGACCTTTCAGAACTTTGAAAGTGCTAATGAATATTATGAATCTCGAAGTGAGAGACAGAACATTTGGTGTTCTCCAATTTAAAATTTTTTTTTTTTTTTAATTTTTTCATTTTCTGAGACAGGGCCTCACTCTGTTGCTCAGGCTAGAGTGCAGTGGCATCATCATAGCTCACTGCAACCTCAAGCTCCTGGGCTCAAGCAGTCCTCCTGCCTCAGCCTTCAGAGTAGCTGGGACTACAGGTATGCACCACCACACCCAGCTAGTTTTTCTATTTTCTGTAGAGATGGGGTCTCACTCTTGCTCAGGCTGGTCTTAAACTCCTGGTCTTAAGCCATCCTCCTGCCTTGGCCTCCCAAAGTGCTGGGATTACAGGTGTGAGCCACCACACCTGGCCTGGTGTTACCAAGTTTTAAAATATGAATTCCCTTTTCTGTTTGGGATCTTGCAAGACTAGTAATCTTTGGGTACCACTGGATAGCAAATGGAGAAATGATTGCTGTCATTCCTCACCTTGTGTGTCTCTTTAAAACATTGTTTTTTAAACTTCCTTTTCTGTTCTCTGTCAGAGACAAAATAACATAGTGGTTAAGGACATGGATACCAAACTCCCTAGGTGTGAATCCTGCCTCCTTTGCTTACTAGCTTTATGACCTCGTACAAATACTTGACCTCTCTGTGCTTCCATTTCTACATCTGTAAAATGGAAACAATAATACCAGCCTCATAGAGTTGTTGTGAATATTAAAGCATTAGTTCCCATAAAACAATGAGAAGAATGCCTAACCCGTACTAAGGCCCAATAAATGTTAGCTTATTACTATCCATACCTCTCATTTATTTTTCACCTGCCTGTTCGTACCCAGTGGCAGCTAAGGGATTGGACTCAGTAGCTTGCACTCAGGTGTTACTGTGAAGGCAGCTCTGTAAATTCAGCTGCTTAGGGAGATTGCTAGGCAAGGGGACTAGCAGGTCTGAGCAAGGAGGAGCAAGGATATTCTCTTTTCTCAGCCCTGTATCCTTGAGTCTGTTAGGTAAGCAGGTAAATACTTATTTAAGAAATTATTATCCAAGATGAGATTGTGGGCCATCTCACAGATGGAATAATAGCTGGATTGTGCTAGGGAAGTAAGTGTCATTCTGAAATTACCATCTCCTCCTTCTTAGAAACTGCCAGATAGTGTTGCAACCTTGATTTTTCACCATTACTCAATTATTGGAACATTCTACCCACTCATAAATATCTCTTAAGGGACTTCGTTGCCTTTTTTATTAAGGATTTTGAACACGGAAATTATGTTTAATAAAATAGTGTTTAATAATAAAACTAAGTTATAAAGCATATATAAAAATATATAAATATGCAGAACTGGGAGAGCAATTATATTTTAACCTTCTCGATAGATAATTAGTTGCCTATAGAAAGAGGATATTAGCTGATGAGAATTAGTTACAGAAGAGAGAAGTCACATAAGTTATATAACCATATGATATTATAAGGACCATCAGGATCATCATCACCCTCCTCATTTGATAATTTTTTAATTTTAATTTAAAAATATATGTTTGTTTTTCAGATTTAAAAAAAAGCAGTTAATTCTCCTGGTCAGCAGTTTATTTTATCCCAAGGAAGATAATATGAATATTTTCAAGGCAATGGACATAGGAAATTTTAATTTTTATCTCAAGCTGAAATTTCATGCTTTCTCATTTGGTGATATAAGGATCCCAAGCAGAGAAAAGAATGGACTTACCCAAACCCCACCATGAAACGGTGACAAAAATCAAGGCTGGCCTCAGTCCATGGGTTCCCATTGCAGGGGCCTATCTGCTCTCATGCCACCTCGTTTTATGAATTAAATTTCATTTGTAAAGTGAACCCTGTTTTTGTAAATCATTTACTCATTCTCAGCTTTCCCTGTGCTCTGTGGAAAGAACATAGGCTTTGGATCCAGATAGGCCCTTGGGGTCAAATCTCAGGAGTTTGATTTATCCGTTGTATCTTCTTGTGAAGAGGTTTTAATTTCACTGAGCCTCAGTTTCTTCATGAAAAGGGAATCATGTCTCTTCAGTGAGATTTTTAAAATACTAGGACAGTAGGTGGAATGAAGTAGGCCCTTGACAAATGATAATTTATTTAATTTAAAAATCATTTTATAATTATTATTTACATATCCAAAATTTACTAAAAAACAGGCATAATTCATCAGAAATTAAAACCGTTTAACCCTAGTTTTAGACATCTTCAAAATATATCTCTTCATAGTGTAAGTATACAAAATCTGCAAATATACTTTATTTAAATACCCAGATGTATTTTTATAATCCTATATGTCAATTTGGAAAATATGACTGCTTTGATTTTTAAAAACCCACATTAAATCTCATAGCAGTTTTAGCAAATTTGTAAAAATCTTACTGAGTGTACTCGAGAACCTAAATAACTGGTTTTCATATGCAGGAAATAAAAGTCAGGAAAATCCTGCTGTCTTCCTGGTAATTAATTCCTATGTTACAGCAATGACAGGTCCTCTCAACTGTTTCTGCTTTTTTTCGAAAGAAATCTGAAACAACTGAAAAGGAAAAGAATAAGAAAATTTTATGAGATGTCATCAAGCTATCATCGGAGCACCATTTTTGTGGTATTATGTGGGTTCTCTTGGGTATTCTGTAGTGATTATCACTTCTGCCTTCTTTCGCTCTTAGTGTGCTCTCGCTGCTGATGAAGTAGTATTTAATCAGAAGGAACTGGAGGTAAAGGAACTGAAAAATCAAGTGCAAATGATGGTACAGGAAAACAAAGGACATGTGGTATCTTTGAAGGAAGCGCAAAAAGTGAATAGATTGCAGGTATGGTTTCTTTTATTTTTTGTAGAGATAGGTCTTATTCTGTCACCCAGGCTGGAATACAGTGGCCTGATCACAGCCCACTGAAACCTCTAACTCCTGGGCTCAAGTGATTGGCCTGCCTGAGCCTCCCGAGTAGCTAGTGCTGCAGGCATGTGCCACCACACCTGGCTGATTAAAAACATTTTTCTTGTAGAGAAGGGGTCTAGAGCTATAGGCCCCAAACGATCCACTGCCTTGGCTTCCCAAAGTGCTGGGATTACAGGCATGAGCCACTATGGCTGGTCGAGGGTTTCTTACTGTATATAGCTCTGTAGATTTAGTTGAAATAGTATCTAACTAAACAGACTAGCACTTTAAATGATAAATAGAAATGTTTACAAAAGTATATTTCAGTTAAAGAGTTCTGAAGAACCATCCTTTCACTATTGTTTTGAGTGCTGTCTTTGTCATAAATCAAGATCTATTTGTACATGAATCTGTTATCTATTTCTGGGCATTCTATTATATCTTACTGGTTTGTTTATCCTTGAGCCAATATCATATTTCTTATTTATTGTAGGTTCATAATAAGTCAGATATTTTATAGAGCAAGGCTTTCCACTCTCCTCTCCTACTCTCTCCCCTCCATGTCTTGTTTGTTCCATGTACATTTTCTTTTCTTTTTCTTTGTTTTTTAAAACAATAACATTGAAATATAATTCACATACCAGAGAATTTAACCCTTTAGCATGTACAATTCAGTGATTTTTAGTATATTTACAGAGTTGTATAACTATCACGACTATCTAATTTTATAATACTTTTATCACCCGAAAAAGAAATCTTACATCCATTAGCAGTCATTCTTCATTCCCTCTTTGTCTCAACCTCTGGCAACCACCACTTTTATTTTCTATCTCTATGGATTTACCTATTCTAAACATTTCCTGTAACTGGAATCATACACTATATGGCCTTTGTGTCAGTCTTCTTTCACTTAAATGATATTTTCATTTATTTATTTTTAATTGTCAAATAATAACTATATATTTATCAGGTACAGTGTGGAGTTTTGATCTGTGTATACATAATAGAAAGATTCCATCAAGCTAATTAACATATCCATCACCTCAACAACTTACCATTTTTTTGTGGTGAGAATGTTAAAAATCTATTCTTTTAGCAATTTTGAAATACACAATACATTATTATTAACAGTGATCACCATGCTGTGCAATAGATTACTAAAACTTACTCAAGTACCCTTACTCCTTTGTACCCTTTGATCAACATCTACCCTTTCCACATTTCATATAAATTTTATAATTAGCTTGTCAAGGGCTACAAAAAACTTGTGATTTGGTTGGAATTGTATTAAATCTATAGATCTGTTTGGAAAGAATTAACATCTTTTGATTATGAGTCTTCTAATCCGTGAACATGGTATCGTCCTCCATTTGCTTAGGTTTCCTTTGGTTTCTCTTAAAAATGGCTTTTTCTCTTTTATGTGTGTGTATATATAGAAGTATTGCACATATTTTGTTAGAGTTATTCCTAGGTACTTGAATTTTTTATGTGATTATAAATGGAATCTTTTTAAAATTTTATTTTCCTGATTTCCTAATTGTTTATATATGGAACTGCATTGATTTTTGTTTTGTTTTCTTTCAAAAAAAGTCTATTCATGTCCTTAGCTCTTTTTTTTTTTTTTGGAGACAGAGTCTCCTTCTGTTGCCTGGGCTGGAGTGTAGTGGCATCATCATAGCTCACTACAACCTCAAACTCCTGGGCTCAAGCAATCCTTCTGCCTCAGCCTCCCAAGTAGCTGGGACTACAGGCATGTGCCACCATGCCTGGCTAATTTTTCCTATATATTTTTAGTTGTCCAGCTAATTTCTTTCTATTTTTAATAGAGACAGGGTGTTGCTTTTGCTCAGGCTGATCTCGAACTCCTGAGCTCAAACAATCCTCCTGCCTCGGCCTCCCACAGTGCTGGAATTATAGGCATGAGCCACTGCACACAGCCTTTCATCAGTGTTTTGTAGTTTTCCTTGTAGTGATCTTTCACCTCCTTGGTTAAATATAATTCTAGGTTTTTGGGTTTTTTTGGTAGCTATTGTAAATGGGATTGGCTTCTTGATTTGTTTCTTGGCTAGATTATTATTGGTGTATAGAAACACTACTGATTTCTGTATGTTGATTTTGTATCTTGGGACTTTACTGAATTCATTTGTCAAATCTAAGAGTTTTGGTGGAGTCTTTAGGGTTTTTTAGATATATGATCATATCATCAGTGGACAGGGGTAATTTGACTTCTTCTTTTCCAATTTGGATGGCCTTGTATTTTTTTGTCTTGCCTGATTGGTCTGGTGAGGACTTCCAGTACTGTGTTGAATAAGAGCAGTGAAAAGTGGACATCCTTGTCTTATTCCAGGTCTTAGGGGGAATACTTTAAACTTTTTGCAGTTAAGTATGATATTGGCTGTGAGTTCGTTGTACATGGTCTTTATTATTTTGAGGCATGTTTCTTCTATGCCTAGTTCATTGAGGATTTTTTTTTTTTTTTTTTTTGAGACAGAGTCTCGCTTTGTTGCCCTGGCTAGAGTGAGTGCCGTGGCGTCAGCCTAGCTCACAGCAACCTCAAACTCCTGGGCTCAAGCAATCCTTCTGCCTCAGCCTCCCGAGTAGCTGGGACTACAGGCACGTGCCACCATGCCCGGCTAATTTTTTTTTTTTTTCTATATATATATATTTTTAGTTGCCCAGATAATTTCTTTCTATTTTTTGGTAGAGACGGGGTCTCTCTCTTGCTCAGGCTGGTCTAGAACTCCTGAGCTCAAACGATCCACTCGCCTCGGCCTCCCAGAGTGCTAGGATTACAGGTGTGAGCCACCGTGCCCGGCCTCATTGAGGATTTTTATGAAGAGATGATGAATTTTATCAAATGCTTTTTCTGCATCTATTGAGATAATCATATGTCCTTAATTCTGCTTATGTGATGTATCACAGTTACTGATTTGCATACGTTGAACCATCCTTGCATCCTGGTATAAAAGCCAGTTGATCATGGTGTATTATCTTTTTGACGTGCTGTTGGATTCAATTTGCTAATATTTTGTTGAAGATTTTTATGTCTATGTTCATCAGGGATATTGGTCTGTAGTTTTCTGTTTTCATTGTGTCTTTGTCTGGTTTTGGTATCAGGGTGATACTGGCCTCATACATAATGCCAGTTGGGTGCTGTTAATACTGTTATTCAAATCTACATTTTTTTTTTTTCTAAGACAGGGTCTTACTCTGTTGCCCCAGGGGTAGAGTGTAGTGGTGTGATCATAGCTTACTACAGCTTCAAACTTGTGGGCTAAAGTGATCCTCCTGCCTCAGTCTCCTGAGTAGCTGGGACTATAGGCACACACCACCACACCCAGCTAATTTTTCTATTTTTTGTAGAGATGGGGGTCTCACTGTCAGCAAGGCTGGTCTTAAACTGCTGGGCTCAAGCAATCCTCCCGCTTTGGCCTCCCAAAGTGCTGGAATTACAGGTGTGAGCCACTGCACCCAGCCCAAATCTATGTTTTTACACACCTTTTTGGGTCTTTTTGTTATATCAATAATATAGAGAGTAATGTTAAAATCTTCCACTACGATTTTGGATTTGTCTTCTCCATGAAGTGCTGATAGTTTTTGCATTGTCTATATTGAAGCTGTATTTTTAAGTGGATATAGATGTAAAATTGTTACATCATCCTGGTGAATTGGCCTTTTAATGATTTTTTACCTCTTTTTATCTCTTCTAATGGTTTTTACCTTAATGTCTACCTTGATAATTACTATAGCTACATCAGCTTTCTTTTGATTAATATTTACACAATGTCTCTTTTTCCATCTTATTTTTAATCTTTTCGTGTCTATTTTCAGTGTGTTTCTTGTAAGCAGCATATAATAAGATTTTACAATCCTCTCCAATAGTCTTTATCTTTTAATTGGATTATTTAGTTCATTTCCAAATTTAACATAATTGCTATTATATTTTAGTTAATGTCCACCATTGTGGTTTTTATTTATCCTTCCTACTCTGTGTTCCTTTTCCTCTCCTTTTTTGCCATCTTTTGGATCAATTTGGTATTCTGTATTTTTCTATTGTTTTCTCCATTAACTTAGAAGTTATACTTTTACTTTTTTTAAGTTATTATCCTAGAGTGTATACCATGCACCCTTGATTTAATAAAGTCTAATATTAATTGGTACTTTAAGCCTTTTCCCAATGTAAGGATTCCATATAATACTTTTCAACTTATATGCCATTGGTGTTGTATATTTTAATTATCTGAATACATGACTTTAAAATAAGGTTGCATTTTTATTGCTCAGTGTTAACACAATGAAACTTCAGGTTTTTTTCTCCCTATTTAAACATTGTAGTACATGGGAAGTATTAAGATGTATGACAATTTATTTATATAAATTTATGCTTGTAAAACAGAGATTGATGTTAGAGCTTTCTGGATTGGATACACTTTAAAAATTTTCTTTAGAGGGCCAGTAGCAATGGCTCATGCCTGTAATCCTAGCACTTAAGAAGGCTGAGGCAGGAGGACTGCTTGAGCCCAGAATTTGAGGTTGCAGTGAGCTATGATGATGCCACTGCACTGCAGCCTGGGTGACAGAGTGAGACCTTGTCTCAAAAAAAAAAAATTTCTTTAGAGAATATATTTAAAAACGAAACCAGGTACACACACACACATATACACAGACACTCCTGACGTACAATTTCTTCTGCCATTGATTTCCAAGTCCTCTTTCCTCCAGGACTATCAGTTGGCTATCTTCTATTTCTTTGTGCGTTTGGCTTGCTTTCTCACTGAGTAAGGCTTTCAATTTCCCGCACCTGTTTTCACTTTCTGCTTCCTTTTCCACAACCTTTGCTGTCTGCAATTCTCACTCCACTTTTTCAACTTTCATGTCTCTTGTTACTTGCATTTCACTCAGAAAGTCTATGCTTTTATAAAGATAGCTAACCAAGGTGCTTCAAGTTGACAAAGCAACCAGTCACAGTGAATGGGGCATTATCTTTGAGTATCTGACTTTTTTGGCTGTGTTTGTTACTGCTTACTGTTCAAAAAGTTTTACCACTCAGAAGAATCTTAGTTACTTGTGAACACCAGAAGGCTAGTCTCTGGATAAATGAGGTATGACTGTATTGGTAAGGTAGTTGTGATTTTGATCAATGTAAAGTTCATTTTTAATCATATTATACACATGTACTGAGGTTGTTTATTTTTAAAATTCTCATCTTTCTTCTACAAAGAATGAAAAAATAATAGAACAACAGCTTCTTGTGGATCAACTGAGTGAAGAACTAACAAAACTTAACCTGTCAATGACTTCTTCAGCTAAGGAAAATTGTGGAGATGGGCCAGATGCCAGGATCCCTGAAAAGAGACCATATACTGTACCATTTGATACTCGTTTGGGGCATTATATGTATATCCCATCAAGACAAGACTCCAAGAAGGTAAAGTCCAAACATTAATCTTTTTCTTATTTTGAGATTTAAAAAAATTATATATAATATAATATACCACAGTGTATTTATACAGTCTCAGCAGTTTTTTCTGTTTGCTTTCATGGGCTTTTGTGTATATGTTTTTTTTTAAGCATGCTTCTTTTTAATAAAAAATTAATAAAGATAATACATAGTTATATTTAGGGGGAATAATTGGATGAAAATAATGTCTACACTTTATCAAGGAGAAAAAGCTATCCTTTGCTGCATATTTTGAGACATGGCTAAATTTGATATCTTCATGAATTTTTTTCTTCCTTTAACTATACAAAGTTGAGATGAGGTTGGAGGGTATTTATTTAGACTTATCTGGTCTGTCTTATTATTTTGAAAATAACATTATTCAGTCTTACCAAGTTGTCATAATCAAGACAGTATAAAGATCAATATGAAGTTTAGTTTGTGTGTGGGTGGAAAATATATGCACCTATAGATTTCTCTTAAGAATTATCAAGGAATCTCTATTATGGAAAAGACTTACTCAGCTGATTAATGAATATTGTTTTCTAAATACTAATTTTATGAAGGGAAATGTTTTTTTAAAGTGAGAGCTATGTGGTGGTTATAGTCAGAGGGATAAGAATTATGAGAGGCAAATGGTATACGAGCAGCCTCACGGACTTTGCATCAGGCAGGCTTGGGTGTGAATACCAGCTCTGTTGTGTAGCCCGGGGCGTATGACCCCCAAGTGAGCCTCAGGTTCCTTATCTATAAGAATGGGGGTAATATGTTAAACAAATTTGGGGAGGTAAACAAATAAATAAATGAGACCTAACCCAAGTGCAGTGGCATGTGCCTGTAGTCCCACTATTTGGGAGGATGAGGTCAGGAGGATCTCTTGAGCCCAGGGGGGCTCATTACGCTATTTATGCCTGTGAACAGCCACTGCACTCCAGCCTGGACAACATAATGAGACTCTGTCTCTAAAAAAATTTTGTTAAATAAAAATAATAATAAAATAAATAAGATATTTTTACTCTTTCCCTCTAATCTGTATTAAATTTAAACAAGCATATAAGAAATGAAATCAAACTCTTCAGGGATGGGGAACCTCTGGCCTTCAGGCCACATGTGGCCTTCTAGATCCTTAAGTGCGGCCTTTTGGCTGAATCCAAATTTTACAGAACAAATCTGAAGTGACTCTAGATTTGTTCTTTTTCAGAGGGGACATGATGACTGTTCCAAATATTTGAAGACTTATCATTATTGTTATATTTTTTTCTTTAGAGTTAGGACCAATGAGAGGAAGCACTAAGGGAATATAAAGAAGAACTTATTAATGAGAACTGCAATGGCATGAGATGACCCAGGGCTTGTTAGGGCCACCACAGTGAATGTGTTTAAGCAGAGGCTAGATGATAATTTACAGCATTGCAGAAGAGAGTCAGACATAAGATGAGGGTTGAACTAGGTAACCTTTCCAGGTAAGTTCTTTCCAGCCTTGGGGCTATGTAATTCTAGGAAAAAGTGGTTAGAATTTAAAAATTGGCTTTTGGACGCATATTCCTTAGTTAGCTGAATTTTTTTAGACAGAGTCTTGCTTTGTTGCCTGGGCTAGAGTGCTGTGACATCAGCCTAGCTTACAGCAACCTTAAACTCCTGGGCTCAAGCTATCCTCCTGCCTCAGGCTCCTGAGTAGCTGGGATTACAGGCATGCGCCACCATGCTGGGATAATTTTTATTTTCTATTTTTTGTTGCCCAGCTAATTTCTTTCTATTTTTAGTAGAGATGGGGTCTTGATTTTGCTGAGGCTGGTCTCGACCTCCTGACTCCTGACCTCAAGCGATCCCTCGACCTCAGCCTCCCAGAGTGCTAGGATTATAGGAGTGAGCTACCACACCCAACCAGTTAGCTGAATTATTAATCAGCTTATTTTGCTACTTATATTATGGATCAATATTGTTTGGAGTATTATTGAAAATGCTGAAATATCCCTAGTGGTGAGCTATGGATTGCAGAAGCAACTGAGGGGAGGTAGGACCCAACACCTTGGTAGGAAGAGGTCAGATTGTAGAAGGCTTTATGAACCTGCCATCATGTTGGGTGGGCCATTAAAAGAGTTAATTTGCTAAATGTTACTCCTTGTGGCAGACCTTATTTGGTGTTCATTATTAAGCTGGGCCATTTGGTTTTCTTTATAAAAAGAAATTTTAAAAGGAAATTACAATCCCAGAGAACAAAGTTGACTTTGAACAAAAAGTTTTATTTGTTTCTGAAATAATTCCCATACCCTGACAGGAGAAACCTTGATGCCTTGCTATGGGGCAAAATTGCCATGCTAAGTACATTGTACTTGTCAGATAAATACTTCTTGATTTGGTTCTTCTGTAAAGAATTACCCTCCCTTGTTCTCTGTACCCCAGAATTGGGAGGCCACCTAGAAAACTTTACCCCCATCCGTCGTGGTACTCATGTACAGATAGTCTAATTAGGTGGCTAATAGTAGAGGCACAAAAATCAGATATAAGAGGATGTTCAGTACCAGGAAGGCTTTTCTGGGAAGGCGATACGTGAGGGACCTACTGTCAAGTGATTTAATCTTGAATACTATGTGATGATATACATATCTCACTATATGTTATACTTCTAACAGCTTATCTTGATTTATATTGATGAATTGAATATCTCTTCTAAGATTTTATTATTTATCTTTTTTGAGAAATAACCTTGAGGTTTGGTTACAGAGAAGTGATGAAAAAGGAAATATTTGGTAATAGAAACTAGAACAAAACAAAAGTATAAAGGCAATTTCTAATTTATTGTTGTTGTTTTCCAAGGTCATGTTTTGAGAATTTAAAGTGCATTTGCAATAGAAGCATGTTATAATATAGAAGATTCCCAGGCTAGCTCATAGAATTTTATTTAGCCCATGATAAATAAATAAATAAATAAATGTCACTTAGACCATTAATTCAGCTATACCTAACCATCACATGGAAAGTATAAGTAAGTATATTGTGACATCAAAATTGGGACTATTTTGCCCCAGCATAGGGAATGGATTTCTTCCTGTGATGAGATTGGGATTGGAAGGGGATATAGACCTTTAGCAGCACCACAATTCTCCAAGCGTTCTGAACTGGGAGGATTGGGATGTGGGCCCATTTGTTGGGGAGTGCCTGGGCTGTGTTTAAGAACAGGGATGGGCCGGGCACGGTGGCTCACGCCTGTAATCCTAGCACTCTGGGAGGCCGAGGCAGGCGGATTGTTTGAGCTCAGGAGTTCGAAACCAGCCTG